GTGCCAAGAGGAAAGCAAATGGTTCTGAACCACTGAATGTCAGTAGACCCTTGTGAGGTTTATCCCTCTGTTTGTTTTGGATCGTGTGATCCTGTACATGTGAAAGGTGGTTGTAGGTCACGTATGACCTGTTTTCTCTATTTGTTAGCTTGATATCATGTGTGTAAGGATCCCTCTTAGTGATTAATGCTTGTAGAACCTCTGGAAAACTAGTTGGCTAGGACTGTTATTCCGTATTGGTCTGAAAATTAGATTTATCATATTGTTTTTTCCTAGAAATTGGTGCATGTGCATAGATTAAGTCCAAAACTGAAATGTGTGTGTGGATTAATCACTTGTTGTGTGTGGAGCTCTTTGTTCTGATATAAGGAGGGATCCTAAATTGAGGTTTTAGATCAAAAAATTTTGTGTTGACCATGTTGTCTGAGAATTCTGCTACTTTAGGGATTTCTGGAAGTCAAAATTGAGTAAATGGGGGAATGGATATGAGTTTCCCCATGGCTGTTATTCCCTTTGATGGTCTGAATTACCTTGAATGGTCTAGGGGAATAAAATTCTACATCATTGCTAAAGGAAAAATAGGATACATCAATGGGAAAGTAAAGGAACCGAAGAGCGAAAGTGTTGAATATGATAGATGGAACCAAGAAAATAGTATGGTGATGTCATGACTCTTGGTTTCCATGCTGCCACAAGTGAGAAAGACATTTATGTGGACCAAAATTTCTTGTGAAATATGGGAACAAGCAAAGTCCACCTATTCAGAGCAGAGACACTATGCCAAGATATGCCAACTGCAAACTGAATTGTCCACTTGCAAGCGGGGGGAAATGAGTCCCTCGGTGTACTATTCGAATCTGACATTGATATGGAAAGAGCTTGTCACTATCAGAATGTAAATTGGAAGTGTAATGAAGATGCAAAGGCATACAAATCACTTGTATCTCAACAATGAGTATTTGCCTTCCTCTTGAGGCTGAATCCTTCATATGAGTCCATCAGGGTGCAGATCTTGGAAAGTAAAGACTTGCCATTAGTTTAGGAGGTTTATGCCTTAGTTCAGTCAAAAGATAATAGAAGAAATGTGATGAATTGTACAGAGAGGGAGCTAGTCACCCTAGCTGTTCGAAGAAGTTCAGATACTAATGTCGGAAGTGTTTTTAAAAAGGGTGACTCTCAAAAGAGAACAGATGATAAGAGTAACTTTGGTGCACTCACTGCCAGAAGACAAGACACACCAGAGATACATGTTGGGATCTCTATGGAAAACCTAAATGGGCAGAGGATTTGGGTAAGACATCAACAATTGATCAGGGCAAGAAACCAAGTCAACATAATAAAAAAAAATATAACTCAGCTAATATGGCATCTCAAGAGACTAGTCCCATGATAACTCATGAAAGACATCCCAGTTCTGACCCTAAGGAAGAGATCATCAACTCCTTCCGTGACCATTTGGAATTATATGGTAGGACTTTTCGCTAGATGGATTATGGTCCTACTCCTTCTACCTTTTTTGCATCTACATCAAGTAACACCCCCACTGCCTTCCATGCGTCATCTCATACCTCTGATTCCCCTTGGGTAATTGACTATGGAGACTCAAACCACATGACCGGTAAGTTAAATTTATTATAGTCATACAATCTTCTCTCTAGGAGAGATAATGTGAGACTAGTTGATGGCTCTTTCTCCACCATAGCCGACCAAGGAACCATATCTCTCCCACTCGGCCTTACCCTTTCTAATGTACTACATGTTCTAAAATTACCTATAAATTTGCTTTCCATTAGTAGTGTTATTCACTCCTTAAACTGTTCAGTTACTTTTTTTTTCGTCTTCACGTGTGTTTTAGGATTTGGCTTCGGGGAAGACGATTGGTAGAGGAAGCATGGTGGATGGTCTCTACGTGTGGGAGTTGTGGCTATAGAGTCCTTGAGTTCGTCTAGTGAGAATCAAGCCTATTTATGGCATAGTCGTCTTGGTCATCTTTCTTTTGAGTCATTAAAAGTTATGTTTCCAAAGTTGTTTGAGTCTTTGTCAGTGAGTCAGTTGCAGTGTCAGACATGCCAATCGAGTAAACATTGTAGAAGCTCTATTCCTTTGAGAAATAAAATATCAAAATTTTTGTTTCATATTGTTTATTCTAATGTTTAGGGCCCTGTTACTCTACCTACTGAGGCTGGATATAAGCACTTCATTACATTGATCGATGATTACTCCATATACACCTAGGTTTACCCTATGCAATATAGAGATGAAGTGCCTAAAATTGTGAAAGACTTTCAACGCATGGTATTCACTCAGTTCCAAACCAAAATCCATATTTTCCAATCGAATAATGCAAATGAATACTTCCATAGTGATCTCACGAAATTCTTTGCTTCGAGTGAATCACTTCAACGAAGCTCTTGTGCTAGGACACTCCAACAAAATGGTGTCGCTGAAAGAAAAAACCGTCATCTTCTCGAAGTAGCTCATGGCTTGCTAATCCATATGAATATTCTGAAACATTTTTTGATGGGTGTTGTTCTGTGTGCTACGTACATCATCAACCGTATGCCATCTCGGTTACTAGAGTATAAGGCCTCATATCAGCTTCTGTTTCTTACAGCTCCATTGTCCCCCATTTCAATGCGTGTTTTTGGGTGTCATTGCTTTGTTCCTAACTTGTCACCTACTCAAGGTAAACTTGATCCTCATGCTATTCCTTATATTTTCCTTGGTTACCCTTTATCTCAAAAGGGTTATCGTTGCTATGATCCCACCTCTCACAAGTACTATGTCTCAATCGACGCTTCCTTCTTTGATAATCAACCTTTCTTATCAGTTTATCCTCAGGGGGAGAGTAGGGTTGAGGAGAAACATGCTCAGACTCAATTACCTCCTCTATTCTGTGTCTTTCTTCGCCACCACAAAAGCCAGCAGAGTTCAAGAGTCATGGAACCTGACACTATGCAACCAACATCATCGGTTTCACCGGAGGTTGATCCTTCTCATCAGCCAGGTACATTTGCTCCTATTGATATGCCTGTTCCTCTCAATGTTGGTTCCCCTATTTTTGATGATCTTGATGTTTCTATTGCTAAGAGAAAAGGTGTTAGATCTTGTACCACTAATCATCCTATCTCTCACTTTGTGTCCTATGACCATATTTCATCTTCATATTGTGCTTTCCTCTCCTCTGTTGATAGTATCCCCGCTCTTAAGAATGTAACAGAAGCTTTATCCAAACCTGGATGGACAAATGCAATGAAGGAAGAGATTGATGCATTACGCAAAAATGACACTTGGGATTTGGTGGATCTTCCTAAAGGGAAGGAACTAGTGGGTTACAAGTGGGTGTTCATAGTGAAACACAAGGCTGATGGAACTGTTGAAAGGTACAAGTCCAGGCTAGTGGCAAAAGGTTTTACACAAGTATATGGAGTGGACTATGCAGAGACTTTTGCTTCAGTAGCCAATATGAACTCCATCAGGATTCTCTTTTCATTGGCATCAAATCTTGACTGGGAACTTCACCAATTGGACATAAAAAATGCTTTATTGAATGGTGAAGTAAGAAGCAAAGTGTGGTGGATAAGAAATCTATTAGGTAAACTGGGTTTTGCAGTTAGCAACCCTATGTCACTCTATTGCGACAATAAGGCTACTATCAACATTGCAGCTAATCCAGTCTTACATTATAAGACGAAACACATTGAAGTGCACAAGCACTTTATTAGAGAGAAACTTGTGAATGGAGAAGTGTGCACCCCATATGTTTTTGCTCAGAATAACAACTTGCAGACATCTTCACAAATGTCTTCATCATGTGCGGCATAATGATTTCTATGACAAGTTGGGCATTATTGACATTTATGCTCCAACTTGAGGGGGAGTGTTGAGAAAAATTGATTTTATTTTATTAGCGTCGGTTTGGATGATTAAAGTGTTTTTATTTTTTCTGGTTATTGTACTTAACTTATAGTAGGGGCACAATGGTCATTTTCTTTTCCTATATTTTTCGTCCTATATATTATAATGAAGTTGGAGCCGCCTGTTCTCCTTCTCCTTCTCTTCTTTCTCCTCTTCTCTTTTCTTCTCTTCTCCTCTTCTTCTTCTTTAATCTCCCACCGGATTTACTATCAAGAGAGATATTTCAAGTGCACGACTGATACATGTTGTGTGGTCGGTGTGAGGTGTGCTTTGTGAGTTAGTGGTTTATACATAAGATATAGAAAATTTTAGGCACATATCTAATGTTATATATTTATAAAAAATGAAATATTGGGTACATCTCTAATATTGTTCATTATTTTGAATAAAAATAAGTTTTATACATAAGAAATAATTTTATCAACCTAGAAATCAAACAATTTTTATTTTTAGATGGTAGGTTAGTGGTTTGAGTCAAATGATACCATAGACATACAAAAATATTAAATGTGATAAGTAAAAAATATTTTATATAATTTAAATGAAATATATAATTTAAAGGGAAAATTATAGTCAAAGTTGGTTGTACATATAAAATTAGGTTGCATGTTGTTTCAGAAACAAACAAAACTCTGACAATCGGCTCTACATTTCAAATTATAAAAACCCTTGCAATGTCATCAAAGGCTTACGTGATTGTTGCCAGCCTAATTTTAAATGTATAGCTGGCTATGACTATAATTTTCTTTAATTTAAAACTAATAATCCAAAAACAATGTTATTTTTTTTATTTAGATGGTGGGTCAATGATCCAACCTTTTTAAAGAAACACATAATGTCATAATTGAATAATAAATATTTAAATTTATTTTTAATCATATTGTTACTTTTGTTAATTTTCAGTTTTTCAAGTAATCAATATGAAAAAAAGTTTTTCAAGTGCAAAGCATGTGCTTAATTACTAATATAAATAGTTTCTGAAATGCATAATTATTTTTTGTTTGTTTGAGTGTAATTTTTCACTCTCTTGATTTTTACACCTTGTAGTGCAAACGAAATTGCACCGCAAACAAAAGAGCCGATGAAATTGCACCGGAAAGTGTATTGGTCCACCACCATTGCTCCTTTGGGGGATCGTTGCGAGAAGGGTGGTTCTTCGCATGCAGTTGCAGGCTTCACTGTTTCTCAACCTCCTACGACTTCTCTCGAATCAGGGGCACCGACGGGGGACTGTTGGTTTGTTGCCGCCGCTCAGAGTCTCAACTCTGGTTTCTCTCAACTCAAAGTCTCAACTTTGGTCTGAACTTCTACGATTCTACTTCAACTCCCGGAAAACAGAAATGTCTGTGGAGGGACCTGACGAGATCGTTTTGCATAGAGTACATATACGCGATTCCACTGCTCATCCTCCTCTCCTGCTTTGCCTTCAAGAAACCCTCAACAGATGCTCCAAAGTAAGCACTCCGAGTTTTCTGTGTTTTGCTTTGTTAGTCGTTTTCGGTTCACCATCTCATAGTTACTCTTTTTTATCAGTCCGTCGAAACCGGAGATTATGACGAGTCCACAAAGGGCGTTCAAGCAGTTGTCGACTTTCTCGGTTCCGTCTGCGATACCGCTGAATCTGGACTAGATAATGGAGACGATTCGAAGGAGAAAGATGCAGTGGAAGTTCTTACAGAGATCCACCGCTACATTTCATCTCCTTCGTTGGACCAGGTTTGTCTATCTTCATCGTTGACTGCGTTTGGTCTATTGGTAGTTGATACCTTTTGTCCTCCTTATCAGCTTATCTGGGCTCTTTATCGTTGCAGGCGGTTGTCGATGCCCTATCATTTGAGTTGCCAAAGGCAGTGGCTAAGTTCTCTGGCATATCAGATAAATGCCGGGAGATTGCAGGAAGTGTAATTGATCACCTTTTATCGACTTGTAGTCCGAGGGAGATGTTTTCGATTCTATGCGAGGTGATTCCTCTCCCTTTGCTGTCGATAGAGACGGGAATAGCTAGAAAAGAAACTTATTACTTCATTGTATGCTGTTAAACTGACAACAAATAGTTGAGTTGAGCTCACCATATTTTGTTTGTTTTGGACCCCATAGAGAACAATCTAAAGTTGTATTTGGAATCAGAAAAATTTCTTGAATAATCATTTTCCATGTTTTTCATATGGTTCTTTGCAATAGGCACCATAATTCCCATTTCTCCACCGATTTCTTTGCCGCATTTGTTCTGGACTTGCTTTTGGCTCTTTTTTCTATATGTTCAGTGCTGTTTCCAGAGTTTTCAAATATCCCTGTTCAGTAAAAGGGGTAGTGTCCTAAATGGAGATGGATGGGATTGGTTTGATGCATTTGGACAAGCCTTGTAGGTTCCCATTAGGAAGCACATATCTTGGCTTCCAACTTTCACATGTCATTTAGATGGAGGACTACAGCTGCCAATGCTATAGCAGCTAAGCTTGCCAAAGATGGGTTATAGACTTATATCTAGATGAATTTTATTGAAGATTTTGATTTGGTTGTAGCCCATTGTTATTGACTCTGTTGCTATTGGATGTTATGAGTTGGATTTGATATTGAGCTTGTTATAGCTCTTGTGTCTTCACTCATTTGATGGGGCTATGTATCTATTTGTTTCCTTCTTTTGCTTTGTATACCTATTCCTATTATTTATCAAGAATGGCACACGAGTAGTAGCAATAGGCATATACTTTTGTTGTATGGTAATTGTATTAGCAAACTGGACACTGCATGTTTGGTTTGGAACCTATCCTCTATTATTACATTAGTTCATTTTTTTACAAAGTTTTGTTAAAACTCCTATCAATAAAAAAGTGGTAATTAGGTGTTTGAAGTGGGTTATGACAAGGGCTGTACTCAAACAAGGAAAAGGAGAAGAGAAGGTAATTAGATGTTTGAAGTGGAAAAGGGTTTGAAAGTTGTAGTTACTTATGAAGATAATTAGTTGGAACATCAGAGGTTTAGGGAGCTTGAAAAAAGGAGAATCATAAAAGAATTGCTCAGAAAAGAAAAGCCAAATATAGTTATGCTCCAAGAATTAATAGTTTTTGTAGTGGACAGAAGATGGGTAAGGAGTATTTGATCATCTAGGGGAATAATCTAGGCAACAACTCCTTTTTGGGGTTCTTCAGGGGGAATTTTTACCTTATGGAGAACTAAGGAGATAAATTGCTTGGAGGAGCTAGTTAGTCAATTATCGAGTTTAATCAAGATGAGGAGGAAAGAGGATGGGTTAGTTTGAATTCTAACAAATGTTTATGCACCAAATACCTGTAGCGAAAGAAATGATTTACAGGAGGAACCAACAGCAGTCAGGGGCCTCTAGGAGAGAGCATGGTGTTTGGGGGAAGATTTTAATGTCATAAGATTCACTCATGAGATGAACAATCCTAAGATTCACTGCCTCTAGGAGAGAGCAGTGAGGGGCCTCTAGGAGAGAGCATGGTGTGTGTGTGTGTGTAGGCATGTATAAACATGTATTTTATCAATAAATAATAAATAATGCATAATTATGTTCTACATGTAATATATGCATATATATATGTGTGTGTGTTTTATCTTATATTTATTTGATGTTTTTTGTTCAGTTTTAATTTTTTATTTGTAAAAAAACATTAAAATTTGCAATTTGAGGCCAAGAAAGTTTTTTTTCCCTGCGAAAATAGCAGGGCATTGGGACGCATGGATCTCGAAAAGTTACCCAAAATAAAAAAAGCCACCTTAATCGGACATCAGAGTGCAAAGTTATGGCTTCTTGAAGTTTGCATACACATTTAGTGTGCAACATGTGTCTCGGTCACTAGGTCGAATGGGTGAACGGTCCAACCGTTCGGGTTGGACAGTTTTGTCCAAGCCAACGGTTTTTGACTATCTCTGTGTTTTATTAAAATTGGACCCAGAATCTTGGTGGGGTGATGGTTCGAATGTTTCAGCCGACCGGGTCAACGGTGGGTTGAAAACATTGTTACAAGCATGAGTAAATTCAACTTATTTGTGGAATCTTATGATCCAAAGGATTTTCCCTTGTTTCAAGCTAGGTTTACTTGGTCCAATTTTGAAGCCAAACCCATTTGCTCTAACTAGATAGATTTTCGGTCTCCCTAGAGTGGGGGGAAGGTTCAAGGGGGTTGACTACTAGAGCTCTACCCATACTGGTTTCAGACCATTGTCCTATTAGATTGGTTAGTGAGAGGTTAAATAGTGGACCTTGCCCCTTTAGGTTTGGAAACATGTGATTACACCCAAACTTTGCTAAGAGAGTGTAGGAGTGGTGGTTGAATGATGAAGTAGAGTATAGATGGAAAGGTTATAGATTTTACAAAAAGCTTCAGGTCTTTAAAGCAAGAATACAAGATTGGAACAATGAGGCTTTGGAAATTTGGAAGATAGGTAGGAGTGGATAGGTCAGAAAATAGAACTTGATGAGGTAGAATCTGATAGGAGATTAATGCATTGGCCTCCCTCCTCACCCATTGTATAACTGGATTCATAGTTCTTGTTATACAACTTCTTCATTTCGTCCCTATATCACCATATCACTGAATCTAGATCTTTTAGCCAGCCCACTACCACCTTTGAGTCCTCTTCAACCACCAAATTCTCCAAGTTCATCTCATTTGTAATCTGAACACCTTGTAAAACTGCATACAGTTCAAGCCCTTAAAGAGTCTCCACTTCCCACCGGTCCTGAGTAGAGTGGCACTATATTCCCTTCCTTATCTCTTATGACCCCTCCAATTCCAGAAGGGCCTGGGTTACCTTGGCTACTCCCATCAAACTTTAATTTCAAAAAACCTTCAAGAGGAGGTACCCATGTCAAGTATATTTTATCCTTCTGCACTGAACTAGAAGTCACTGTATACCAGTTCCTCCAAATTATCGTCAAAGGAGAATTATCAAAATAAATCCAAAGCTAATTGCCAATGTATAACCCTGGTCATTACACAATCCATAACTTGTTTCCTTGTGTTAAGATGTGCTGAATAGGGGTAGTTTAGTCTTCTTCTATTTATTAAGTAACTTRCTTRTGTGGCAGTGTTATTAGAGTTACTCTRCCCCACACYTAAGTAAGGGCATTTCTGTCTTTGTAAACATTATTAGAATCTAATATAGATTAAGGGGGTCGACTAGATGGGTAATCTATCTGATTTTCGACAGACCCTTCTTCTTCTTCTTCTTCTTCTCCTCTTCCTGTTCGGACTACTGTAGCAGCAGTCGAAACACCTTGCTTCTCTCCTCTTGGAAGATTCTAGCGTTTCTTTCTTCCCATAAAGTCCAAATCATGGGAAGCAACCAAATGTTTTGGGCTGTATTGTAAGCTTTTTTATTGTTCTCTTGGGGAGAGTTAAGTCATTTTATCTCTCTGGAGTGCTGTAATTATTTTCTTCATTAATATAATGTGAATTTGTTATTGATAAAAAAAGTCCAAATCACTTATGCTCTAGTGCACATCGACATTATTCTTCCCCTTCTCTTCAGCCATACAAAAGTAGAAGAATCAAACATCTTAGACTATGTTTGGGAGTGCTTATTTGGGCCATGACCACACCATTAAGTACTTAGTGGTGTTTGGGAAATAAGCCTGAAATAAGTTCTTATTTTAAAAATAAGGGCTTATTTTTTAAGCCCAAATTTCCAGGTTTTTTTAAGTGCTAAACAATGAGCACTTATTCAATTATTTTCTACCAAAACTGTCTCCATGCTTAAACAATAAGCCCGAATGAATCGAAGCTCTCCATCAGACACTGTGCCTGCTCCAAGCTCAACTCCAGAGGGAAAATGGTTCCTTGGGACCCACTTCCGGCAACATGACTAGACCCGTAGTCAGAGCAAAGTCCATTACAAAGAGGGAGGGGGTTGGAGTGTGACTACCAAATCAGACACTTGCGCCTGCTCCAATCTCAACTCCAGAGAGGAAAACGGTTCCCTGGAACCCACTTCCGGCAATATGACTAGACGTTTGCCATTTGGTTGCAAATAGTCGCCTTAGATCGATTTTTCTCTACTTAGCAAAGCGGAGATCACATCGTCTCCCGCTTTCAACTCAATCTGAAAAAAATCCTTCCCCTCTCATTCGCTTCCTCCATTACAGTCGATAAATGCAACTATCATGGAAAAAGGTTTCATGAGCTCCGAAATGGGATCTGAAAGGACATTGTAAATTTTCAATATTATTTAATTTTCATCTCCTGTCTCTTTCCGATGCAGAGGCTAGGAAACTTGCACTAGAGTATCTAACTTTTGCCGCCTAATGCCTTAACTCAATCCCAACCGGCCATGGAATTTGATTGTCGTATTGACTTTTACCATTGTCCAGTCATCATGGACTCCCCTGGTGGCATAGAAGGAAACAAATCCTTTAGAGGCAAGTCACCAATCCAAACGTCTTTCACAAAACGAATTAAATTCCTTGGACATACATCACACCTGATATACTTGAGCAAAAGAGGAAGGTCACCATGAATTGCTTTCCAAGGTGCTTCCGAAGTAGCCCAATGTGATACTCCAACATCCCAGCCACTCTCCAACCTTCCTTGAATACTATTCACAACCTCATCCCATAAACTTTCTCTTTCTAATGGCCATCTCCATAACCACTTCTCTAAGAGAGCTATATTCTTCTTGCTCACATTCCCAATACCCAACCCACCTTCTTCTTTTCTTCTACACACAACCTCCCATTTGATTAAGTGGTTTTTTCTAGCCTCTCCCAGCTGCCAAAGGAAATCCTTCATTACTTTTTTCTAATTTCTTTAATTACCTCGGTAGAATCCTAAAAACAAAGAGAAAGTAAATTGGTAGGTTAGCCAAGGTTGATCTTATTAGAGTAATCCCGCCTCCCAACAACATATAATTCCTTTCCCACACAACCAATCTCCTCTCACATCTTTCTACAATTGGATTCCAAAATCTACTTTCCTTAGGGTTGGCACCTAGGGCCTAG